TAACAGGGTGTTGCTACTAGGGGTCTGTTGAGACAGTTCCTTCCAGAGCTTATGCAAGAGCAAGCGGTAGCCCCTGTGTGACAGGCCAAGACTTAGTATGATACTAGGCTCTTGGTTGTATCCCCTTAAAGGAATCCATTTTGATTCCAAGCCTGGAGCTCATCCCCGGGCCCAGGAGTCTGGCCCTAACAGGTAAGTTTGGGTATGTAGCCTAGGTCTTTGGCCGTAGGGGATAAAGTCACAGACAGCCGTCTGACATCCCAGGGGCGACTCACCATGAAAATGGTAAAGTTGGTACTTAGTGCTCGCCATGGTTCTGGCCCGCATTCCCCTCAGCATGGCAGCGTGGGTATACCGTTCCCCATAGCAACCCCTAGAGGACGCAGTTCGAAGTTCCCTTGAAAGTGATGTCATGGGCTGTAGCCGCCAACGTGTTGTTGGTGTTTTTTCAATGTATGCTTCAGACACGGGTCACCACGAGGCGTTCCCCATAGCGACCCCTAGAGGACGCAGTGTCTCATTCCCTACTCAGGGAACCATGGTTACATAAGTAACCTGAGACGTTTTTCCAGTGCCCTTGGCCTAGTGCTCCTTGTTGAGGCAGAGGTTGGCTGTACTGACTGGACCTCCCTCTGCTGGTGAGTAATGATGAAAACCTGTATTAGATTGAATCGTCCATTATGAAACGGTCATTTTTATAATAAATTGGTAAATTTAATCTTTTTTTTTTCCTTTCATGTATTTTTTTCCACAGGTTATTTGGTGGATAAGTACAAGAACTATGAATGGATTTTTTACATGGCTGGAGGAGAGCTGATCACTGTTGGAATATTTCTTGCCCTTGCATCATTCTTCTTTATTAGATGAAAGAAACACAAAGACACACAGCAGAAACATCATGGTGATATGGCAATCAATCTTAAAAGATAAACAATGGAGAAAGCTGAAAAGTGGGACACTTATGTTCAATTAAATATGTTTTGTTTAGATATGTGCGTTATTAATATTAGTGTCTTATATTGTGTGTGAGTGTTTAGAATTTCCTAATTTCTAACATTTGCATATAAATTACATAATGTCACAACCAGCAAAACCACTTTTGACCATGTGGGTCAAGGATGTCCAAGACAATAAAAAGGATTTTGAGTGCCATGTTCTTAGAAAGGTTATTTTATATTCATGTTGGTTTTATGTGCTATATGCCTATATGTATACACACAAAAAATGTAACGTTAAATATTTTTTTTTTTATACATTTTAATTGACTCTACATCAGTGTTGTTATTGTTAACTAAAATGGATACTATTAAAAATAATTTTTGTAGCCTAATTAAGATAAAACTGAAATAACTGAAATAGTGTATGAATAGTTGAAAGACTTCAATTAAAAAATGTTAAACGAAAATTAGAAATGTTGCCTTGGCAACTAACTGAAATAAGTTTAGGTTGAAATACTTCATTTAGTAAAACTAAAACTTAAATAAAAATAAAGATGAATAGTTTAACTATTTACTTATTTAAAAATAAAATTGACAAAAGCACATGATTAAAACCATAGACATAATAAATACCTAGACGCCTCATTGGCCGCTTTGAGCCGTTGCTGCGATACGTCAACGAGTCCGCCATGTTTGTGAAGGTAAGACTGCCTTAAAAATAAATGGAGGTAAACGGGGGAGTTGCGTTTTTTTCTGGATAAAAACACAATATGTTTACATTTATCAACCGTTAAAAATAAC